AGAATTAGTAAAACGAGCCTAGGACCAAATCATTATCATGACTAGTGAAAGTTTGTACTATATGATACGCAAAACTTCAAATATTCATAACTGCAAAGATTTTTATTATAGTGAATATTCGATAAATACAATAAGTGAAGAAAGGTCAATGAAGATGATTGACATTGCTAGTAGATTTACTGGATAAATATATTGCCTATGTAGTAGTCCTAGATTTTTTTTTTTTTTTTTTTTTTTTTTTAAGAGTGAGGCCTGGCCTCGGTCTTTATTGAATAATTTATGTTTAATTAGTAGTCCTAGATTTATTAACGAAAATTTTATTAACTCCTTACTGAAACTATAAATTTTATAATTAGCTAGTATATATTATTGTATTTGCGGCATCAATATTTAAATTATGATCTAGTGATTCTCACTGGAACTGGAAGATGGCCAGTGGCCCAATGCCACTGGACCTTCCAGAATAAACTGGATGGAAATTTATGAACACCAGAAACGGGTAGTGCTTAAGGACAGTGCTTAAGTACAATTTAATTATGTGAATATTACAGTTAGCATCAGGATTGGTTATTTTTTTAATTCCAATCAAAAAAATGATCATTTTCATAGTCACTGTAAAATCATTGAAAAACCAAAAAATTTTCATGTGATTTAAAACACGATCAATTCACGTGAGCTAAATTAAATGTACTGCATTTTGAACTTAGTGATTATATATTCACATGCGTTTTACTTTTTATCAACATAAAAGTTGAATGATGCCATCAAAAAGTGAAGCCACCGAAAACTTAATAACCATTAAGCAAGAGTATATAGAGATATTTATGCTTTACTGTACCGCTATTTATAATTACTTGGATACAACAATATATGATGTTACATATTGCTAAAATGTATTTCAAAGAATTTGTTTAAGTTGCCATAAGAAAATGTAAGGTATACAACATTAAAATGCTATGTAATAAGAAATCTTATACAGAATTTTTGGGACATATGATACGGCAGAATTACTGCAACACCCAAACACACCCAAACACACAACAATCAATCCAACTCCCACGCTTGCCACGAATGACCCATTATCGCCATTATTATTGATATTAGCAGGATCTGAGTCAATATTACTGAGGCCAACGTCTATTAAAAAGAATAAATTATTAAATGTGAAATATATAATTAACGCAAATATATATATATATATATTTACCAGTACAACTTGATATATAGATGGCTATAATACGAATACAATTCATGTTAAAAATCACTAAAGTTAAAAAAATTTTAAATAATTACGGA